TATAGAGAGAGAGAGAGAGAGAGAGAGAGAGGTTGCAGAACTGAGCGCGCCACTGTGTGGTGTTGAAGGAGAGAGAAGTTGCTATCCAATTGTTGTTGTAGCAGTGCAGTGGTGATTTGAAGAAGCTGAGAGAGAGAAAAAAATGCTATGCAGACTGCGATGGGTGTAAGTGGTTGTGGCTGGTAGAGGAGAGAGCTTGAGGGGTAGAAAATAAAAGTAGGGTTTTTTTAGTTTCTTTTAAATGTTTAATGGGTCAAGTTCGGTCCAACATAAGAATTTTTTTAAAATGGTAGTCCAACAGGCCAACCCACCCCAAACTCGTTCAGACCTCGTTTTCAAATGGATTATATGGGGCAGGTTATGCAGGTTATTGGATTGAAGGTATATAACCCGACCCACTTAATTTAGTAGGTTATATGGGCCAGCCTGACGGGTTAGGCCCAAATTCATATTCCTACTTTGAGCCAATTCTTATCCTTATTTTTAATAAGAGCATTGAAACCATTTTTTTTTCCTAAGCTCTTTTGTCAATATTAATGATGAATTCAAAATTCTAATAAGTTTCTCAACGAACTCAGCACTCCAGGTGGGCCTGAGATTGCTTCACTTGTTCACATAAATAAAATTAGTTGGTAAGGTTCATAACATTAAGCATAATTTTATAAATTGAGATCTTTTTTCTAGCAATACAATCAACATTCTTGGCCTTCAATATCCACCGTAGTGTAGCTAAAATAAGGAAGAATTATGTTGAGTTATAATCTAGTTGTTGTCATCAAAGGAAATTACAAATCCTTCTTTTCATAGAACTGCATGAACCCAAATTTCCTTATCAGATAGTCTTTGACATAGTGGAGATTGTACTCAGTGCAAGTGTGACATCTCAAGAAAAATGGATGAAGACACCAAGTTCTTATGATGAATGACTAAAGTAATTGATGTTGGTATCAAAGTGGTAATTTGAGAAAAATTCCTCACTTGTTGGGTCCAAATGTCCTTAACCTATAACTCTAGATCTTAAATGTTAATATAAACTTGGTTACATAATTTCACCCGTTATTTTTAGCTACATTATGGTGGATATGGAAGACCAAGAATGCTGATTGCATTGCTAGTAAAAAGATCTCAATTTATAAAATTATGTTTGATATTATGAACCTTACCAACCAACACCATTCATGTGAACAAGTATTATAATCTTAAGCCTACCTAGAACATTAAGTTCGTTAGGAGGCTAATCAGAATTTTAAATTCATCCTTAATATTAATGAGAGTGTTTGAGGGAGCTTAGGAAGAGCTAGTTTCGAGTGGTCTTATTAGAAATAGATATGGAATTTGGCTTAAAGGACTTTTGGGTTCATTGGCATTTTAGACAATATCCATGTAGAACTCATAGTCATGCTTTAGAGGTTGAAAATGGCTTGGAATCTAAATATCAAACATCTCTTGTATTAGTTTGACTATGACCTTGTGATAGAAATTGTTCTACATTTCCACAAGTATGTTAATTTCATTTGGGATATAAAAGAGTGAATGAGAAAAGACTAACAAATTACCATTATATACACCTTGCATGAAAGCAACACATGTGCAAATTTTTTTGATAAGTTGAGAGCTTCTTTATATTGTGGTTTCAAAAATTAAATTTCTGCATTTACAAATTTAAGATTACTTCTCTAGATTGATGCTAGGAAAGTCTCATATATGATATTGTAAATTTTTTTCTTTTATTTGTTTCTTTACTTTCCTAAAAAAATAAATTTATTTTTATTAAACAAGCTTTTTCAACCAATTGAGATGCATTGGCAAGCATATTCTATATTTCAAATTTTGTAGTTTTTTCAAAGCTAATACTGTAAATTCTAATTATAATTTTATCTGTATATTAAAATAATTATAAAAAAATATTAAATATTAAATAATTTTGATCACAGTTCGAATATTCTTCTTTGATTAAACTATTTTTATCTCTTAATTTTTGTTACAAATAACGTTAAAAAAAATAATTAAACCTCTTAATATAATTTAAGTGATAGAATTGTAAGTCAGTGATATAAAAATAGATGAATTCAAACTACACAATACATATTTTATAATTTATAAAAAATTAAATAAAAAAATAATCCCTAAAATTATACATTCTTTTAAAACTAGTCGTTGTAACAATTTTTTATAATAGTTGGCATGTGATAATTCCAGTTTTATATGTAATACTTAAACAGTTAATTAGTCCTACAAAATATATTTTTTATGAATTAGTTTCTGTTAATTTATTTTATCTTAATCTTGTAAAATTTTAAATAATATAAGTTTTTATGATTATATTTAACACTAAAATATTTCACTATTTGGAATCAACTAATATGTAATGTTTCAATAATTTTTAATTCTTTTGCTTTTATTATTATGAAAAAAGCGGCTATATTCCTATTATTTATGAAACATGATATAATAAAAATAAATCTTATCACTTCACATGTAATGGAGAACATCTCTATTATCTTAGGTAATAAAAAATGAAAATATAGATTCAAGAGTGCATAATGAGGTAGGTCTTCCAATATTAAACAGTAAAACTTTTTTTAATTATTTTTGAAATTCTCTTCAAAACATAATATTTTGTTCGAATATTTTTAAGGAAAAGATGAAATGCAATATATTATCTAAATAAAAAATGTTGATTCAAGAAATATCATAAAGGTTTATTTTAAAAAAAAATAAAATTAATAGAGACTAATTTTTAAAAGTGTATTTTTTATAGACTACTTACTTATTCAAGTCTTGCCATAAGGTAGCAGGGCTAATAATCACATGTAATATTATTTATTTAGTCATCGCTTAATGACTCTTAATTAATGATAAAATTTATTTTCAAAAAATATTTTTTTTAAACTAAATTTAGTAAAATTTTTGAACTCATTTCAAAAGATGAAATATTTTTAGAAACTATGTTCTTTTTCAAACCATTTATAAATATATAATCTGGACATCGTATTAAAATATTAAAATAATAATTATACATCTTCTTTCTCTTTTTTTTTATCCTAAATAAATAAAGTGTAACAAAAAGTATTATTTATGAATTATAACCTAAATTAGACTGTTTTAAATTAGCCTTTTTTTTAAAACAAAAATTAACTTCCTAGAAAGTCCTTTAAAATAATGATTCTCTAATTTTAGTTTAAACACACACTTCAGTCATAATAATATATAAATTTCACAATTATAAATATTATTTTATGTATATTATAAAATTCGTATCAAAGATATTGATAGACGATACTGAGTCGCTATCAAAACAACTAAGTTTTCTAAAAAATTTGTAGTATAGAGTCAAACCTAAGTCGATTCGATTCACGGAGACACATTTTCAGTCAAATTCAATTTTAAGTTTTCTTTAAAAATTGCAAATAAGGTTTTTGAGATTTTAAAAATTACAAATTAATCGAATTAAATTACAAACAGAATAAAATTGTGTAAAAATGAATTAAGAAACATTAATCTACAAAATATCAAATACGTGTAACTCTAGCTATCACAGTATCTAAAGATTTAAATCTACGTTTGAATAATCACCCAATTCAATTATTAATTTAATCGAATAACCTAATTGAATAGAGTTACAAATTAAATCAAATAATCATTTAACCTATTCTGCATTAATTATCAAATCAAAGCATTAATTGAGTCCTAATTTAAATTCTAACAATAGAAAAGTTAATCACACTTGCAATACACAATTCTGAAATTAGATAGAAAAATAGAACAACTCAAAGTAATTTAGTGCAGAACTCAAGTCAGAATTACAGCGTTTGGATTCCACAGATTAAATGAGAGTTTTAGTCTTCCATCTAAGCACTTAACCCACTCAAGAATGAGAAAAAAACTAGAGAATTCGAAACAAAGTAAAAACAAATATTCTTCAAAATTTCAAAGTATTTTTATCACTTTCCTTAAATCAGAACTTTATTAGTCTATTTATAAGCTCTGATTAGGGTAATTTAAATAGCCAAAATTTGGGCCTTAATTATAACTACAAGTCCAAATATAATTTATCTAATAACAAAGGGTCCAAATGTAATTTCGCAATAATATTCAACAAATCTTTCTCAACTTCAAAAAATCGTAAAAAATTAAAATCAACTACAAATCCAGCGATCCATATATGTATTTTGAAACCTTGGATATATAAAATCCAATGCAACTGGAATCAACCAAAAATGATATTTATATAAAAAGTTATAACCAAAAAAATAGTCAGAGGTCAAAATTACTGAAAAATATAAATTAAATTATTTATTTGTAATAAATTCAATTTATTCTAATAAATAAAAAATAATAAAAATTCTAAAAATAAAGCATATTAAAAGTGTTTATAAATTAAAATAAAATTATAAATATAAACCTAAAATATATTACATAAAATATATGCACATAGTAGTATTTTATCAAATAATCATTCTTATAATAATATAAAAAATTACCATTCTAAAAACTAAAAGTAATTAATTTTTTATTATATTAAAAGTATTTATAATTTTAATATATTCTATTAACTATCTTATTGATATACAAAAACTCTTTAATATATTACCTTAACATTTCATACACTGTTGTTTTTTAAAATCTTTTTATTACAATATAATTGAAAAGTATTAATCAATATTATCATTTTAAACTTAAAAAAAAGTGAATGAATAAAATATGCATATAGAATTCCTTTTTAAAAATTGACAGAAAAATGGAAGTTAGTCTATCCTTTCATTTTACTCAAACAAATAAAGTGTAACATAAAAGAAGTGCCGTGCAACAATCATTTCCCACATGCAGATCAAACCCATGTCCCACAATTTTCCCTTCCTCCTTTCTTTATGTTTATTAAACAATTTTTTTGGACAAAGTTTGGTAAAACATAATAAATATATATATTAATATGTTTTCTCCCAGAGTTTCCAAGGAAAGTTTCCCCGTTAATACTCTCCAATTGCTTTATCTTTTAACTTGTTTTGACCTCAAACTCCGGAACTTGCTCTCTCCCTCCCTCTATATATAACCCTTTCTACCCTCATCTCTCTCATCGCACTCTTCTTCACATTCTATCATCCTCGCTTCTCACTTTACATCACCTCACCCAGTTCTTCTTTTTCTTAGTATTTTTTTAGGAAATTAATTAAATGGAGGAAACTGTGGTGCCAAAGAGGCCTAGAGAAGAACCTCAAGTGACAGAAGATGCACAAAATATTTGTCATGAAAAAGAGCCGTCTAAGAGGCACAAACCATACAACAACATACTCTCTCTTCTTGAATCAGAGGAATTAGAGGACTCCACCCAAGACCTCTCTCCTTTCATCACAACCCTCCAACAAGAAATCACCAACTGTGCCTCAGATTCAGATACCCTTTTGACCCAAGAACACAAACTCACCACCACCTCGACACCCAATAGTTTAGAGAAATCTTCAACCTGCACCACTCATCATTCTAATGACACCGTGAAGGATGATGATAAAGAGAGGGTCATGAGACACCTTTTAGAAGCTTCTGATGATGAGCTTGGGATTCCAAACAGAGTAGAAGGGTTACTTGATTTTGGTGAAGACGGGTTTAACGGTGGAGACATGTTTTCTTCTATATGTGATGGGTTGTGGGAGCTTGAAGATGAAACTGCTAATTACTATGCTTTGTTGCAATCTGGACTCTTTCTTTAGTTTCTCTTGCTTCCTTGGAGGCAATAGGCAATATAAAATAAGAAAAACGAAGTTATTGAAGGTCAAGGTGAAATCTAAAATGAAAAATTGAGGGCATTTTTTTCCTTTGTTTTTCATTTTTTTATCCCCCCTTTATGCGAAGATCATGGGTTGCTTATGTGAACGTGGTTGGATTAGCAGTACTGTTGAGGTCGATTTGTTTCAGAAACTACAAAGACCATTTGGGCACATATTCATATTAAACAAAGTGATTAGTCGTGATCTATTTAACTTTTTCTTCATTAATGTTATTTTAATCGTATCTTGACTTTTCAGGTTAAATAAAATGGGCTTCGTTTTGTTCTTTTAATAATGTCAGAATAATATTTTTTTCATATTTTTTGTGCCAAGCACATTTTTGTCATTATAATTTGAATTTAATTATATTTTAAATTTTTTTTATTATATTCAATGGGGCTTAACGACTAAATGAACAGAAAATCTAATCAATCATCGTAGGTAAACTAGCTCCGTAGTCATTCCCACAAAGGAGAGAAACAAGTTGCATAAAGGAAAAATTCAAAAGTTTATACCCAAAAGATTCATAGCGAACCAAAAAACAAAAGAAATTAACACACCTATTAGCCTTCCTATATTCATCGGATATACAAACAATCTACAAAACTATATTAACATTCTAATTTTATTAGTTTATATGTAATTTTGATCCTTTAATTTTAATTGTTTATATTTTATTTTATTTATTGTAAAGTCTCTCTATTTTATTAATAATTAATAAAAATATAATTAAAACATGTATTGTGTCATCCGTGTATATTGAAAATGTATAAACTTAATATAAAAATGAAAGGCAAGATATATGAAGTGTAGCATAAGATAGTTTTGACTTTTTTATTTTAAATATTTCGTATTTTTTTATTTATCAATTTATACAAATTAATATGATCACATCAAATTTTACTTACAATATTGGATGAAATTTTGAATAAAAATTTGATTTTAAACATTAAAATATTATGAGGACTTACTATTATTAATTAAAACAAAGGCCGGGATCAAATATAAATTATGATATAAAACTATAAAATTTAATTAAATTTTATCTTGAGAAATAGTATTTTTACAACACTTATTGTTAGCAATTGCTTTAGTTTTCTTAATTAAACTATTGAGGATGTCTAACTTTGTTTGAATATTAAAAGGTATATGAAACACAATGAAATAAATTAGAATAAAGTTTTCAAATAATGATTTGTATTTCCTACATAAAGAAAATAAAATGGGACTCTAAATGTTAAAAATAAAACAAAAAAATAAATTAGAGTGCATCTAATTTTATATATTTTAAAAAAATTCAAATAATAACAACACCTTTATAATTTCATTGCACTATTTTTATTTCTTCGTTAGCAAAGGGAAATCCCAAAATTCCCCACTTGCCTATATGTGGACTAAAATGGTTAAAAGTACAATTATGAGAGGGGACCTGTGTACGTTGCAATAACGGACACTGGCGTGATAGCCTACCATACACACACACGAACTAGAATGGGATTTGTAATTTGTTTAATTTTGAAGAGAAGCCAATATGAATTAATTAAGGATAGTTTTTTATAATTTTCATAATTTTTTATTTTATTTTAATAAGTTCTTATATTATCTTTTAATAAATTTGATATACAAATTTAATTTCAACACTTGAAAAATTTTGTAATGTTAAGACTTTAGTAAACATCAATTTAAAGCACTTAAAAAAAAATACTTTCAACGTTTAAAATATGAATTAAGGATATTTAGAAGATTTATAAATAATTTATAATTTTTTTTATTTTGATAAGTTCTTATATTATCTTTGAATAAATTTGATGATTAAATGTATTATATAAATTTTTAAAAATATATTAAATAAGTACTTAATTAAGTTATATATTCAAACATATTTATACTCTGGTACTTAAAGAATAAGAAAATATAGTACTACAATAATAAAAAAAAAAACTTGTAAAAAAATTGTCTACAGCAGTTTAATTATTTAAACAATAATTCTAGAATGAACTACTCTAGGGTTTGTCGTGTGCTTAGCAATCTAAAGCTAAAACTTAAACCAAAATTTTAATTTTTAAAATAACATGTGAACAATGTATCAGTGTGGCTTAAGGTAAGAAAAACCGTAAAAATGCTAACAACTAAACAATTATATATATATATATATATATATATATATATATATATATATATATATATATACTTTTGCAAAACATTTCATGACTTAAAAAAGAAGTAATATATATTATTATTGTTCATACAAATAAATAAATCATTGTAAATTTAAAATATATGTAATATTATTATTTTTATGATTGTTATTATTCTTTAATAAAGAGAAGAAAAGATATATTTTCATATAACGCTTACAATTATTATTATTATTATTTTCAATTCTCCCATATAATATTTGAATTCTTATTTTAATATTTTCATGTTATAAAACAATGTAAGTTAATAAATTAATTGACAAAATATTAAAACTCTAAACTCTTAATTTATATTGAATTAGTATGTTAAAATTTGAAAGTTCAATTTAAAGTACTATTTGTTAAGATTGCAATAATCTTAAAACTTAATTTTATCGTAAAAATATCTTTAAGTGGATATAGTACAATAATATTTAAAATTTTAATAAAATTAAGTTTAAAATGAAAATTAAGAAATAATATTAGAATATAATAAAAATTAACAAATAGAATGTTCATTTTAAAAAAACAAACAAACAATTACGAGGCTTATAAAAATGAGATACCTCCAAAAACTTCTCTAATTAAAAAAATAAGAACTAAAAAATATAATATAAATTTAATTTACCAGTATTATTGTTTAATTTAAATGAGAATTTATCCAAAGTAAATATTTGTATTTGTCTCATAAAATGTTAAATTATTCTGTACCATAAACTTCTTTATACTTTCAACAATTTTTGTAAAGTTTAATCTCATTTTGGAAGTTAAATACAAGTTTTCTTATTTGTTGAGAACACTTTTGCTTTTGAAGAAAACACAACTTGTTTTAATCTCTTTTAGAAAAATTTAATATAAAAGAAAACCTACTCTAAGATAAAATGTGGTATTTACAAAAGTTCTTGAGGTATATGATGACTCAACCTTAGTCATCCATAACTTGAAAAGGGAACGAGGTACTCAAGATGCAAAATTAATTTCTTATTAAGCTTTCATCAAGGAATTGAGGGAATATCTTGATGAAATCACTTTTCAGCACATTTTTCATGAGGAGAATCAACTTGTTGATATTTTAGTTACTCTATCATCAATGTTCTAATGAGTCAAAAAGAGAACATGTCGCTTATAAAGATATGACAACATGATCAATCTGCTTATTGTCAAATGATAGAAAAAGAATCTAATAATAAACTCTAGCACTATAACATTAAGAACTACTTAAAAAATCAAGAATAGTCATTAAGTGTCTCTCTTAGTGAACAAAGAACATTGAGTAAATGAGTAATGAATTTCTTTTTTAATGTAGATGTACTATATAAAAAGAATCATGATATGATGATTCTAAGATATTTGCATGCTCTAGAAACACAAAAGATCATTATATATATATATATATATATATATATATATATATATATATATATAAACAAAACATAAAACTTTTAATACATATGAGTCACACTTAAAGACAGAATACATAAAGTTGCTTTATTAGAGATTCTTCAATCATTGAAGATAGGCTCATAACTAGGAGAGAGATTTGGATCGTCATTAGTTCCCCATCCTTCTTGATCTATTACTGATTGAAAAGGATCCTGAGACTCCATCACTGTATCAGTTGGTGATGATTCAGCTTCATCACGAATAATGACATGTGCTTCTCTTTCCCAATTTCCAAAACCAAGACTAGATGAGACAAGAGGTGAAACCACTTGTTGAATCTTATTCCACATGTTATCATCATAAGGATCTGGAGGGAAAATGATATCCATAGGTTTCAGATTTGAACAAGTGAAATTTACTTTAGTCATTTCTTCTTAAGCTCCATTGATTACATGGAGATGAGTAATTAAATCTGCCTGGTGAAAAGGTGGTGTTTCTGGTTCAGATACATCCTTTATACTTCCATATGTATTCCAAAATTTGACTTGATTCTGGGTATAAAGTAATTTAGAAGTTGGATGTTCAAAGTAAGGCCTATGAATGATTACTACAATAACATTTCTTGGGAACTCAGACGGTTACCAAATGAATAACCTCTCCATTTCTGTTTGGAAATCCTTTTTCCAATAAGGAATGAGTTGATACAATGTTAATAATTCCATAAGAGGGATGACTCATTTTGGGAATTATTAAGAAACTCAAACATTTTGAAATTGGTAAAGACTATATGATAATGAAACAGGAGAGAAACACACCACAAGTACCAGAGGTCTTCTTCAATCATTGAAATTTCCATTAACAGAGTAAAGATATTTAGATAAGGAGCATCTGGATGAAACCAGGAAGGTTTTGGTTTGACTCCATGATTATGAAGAGAAAGTGCCAGATAATGGAACATATGATTGCAGCCAAAATCTTTTATGTATTCTGGAGTGATAAAGTCATCAGTTCTAAAATCTGATGGAAACATGTGAGAAGGACTATGGCTAGAACTGGCTTCTGCATTATTGAGTGAGAATATCAATGGATAGGTTTGTACAGAAGTAACAATGGAGATAGGCTTTTTTGGACGAGATAACAGATCTGGGACTATGTTCTTTTCTCCTTTGATGTATTTGACAGTAAAATCATACCTGAAAAACCAATTCTTTAGTCTAAGAATTTGAGGATCAAGAGGCATCTTATTCTTGAATTCAAGGAGTGCAGGAAAAGAGGAATTATTCATTTGAACTTCAAAATTATGTTCTCTTAAATGAAAATCAAATTTTTGAATTCTATTTTTCACCGCCAAAGCTTCCTTGTAAGTGGTATGATAATACTTCTCTAATTCTTTAAATTGTCCACTGGCATGTCTACAGTAAGCCTTTTTTCCTTCTATTTCTTCCAATAAGACAGCTCTTCAATAATGATAACTGGCATCAATTTGTAGAATCCTTTTTCCTTCTCCAGGGATCTTTAATGGCGGAGGATTCTGAGCTATCTATTTTAGATGATGAACAACTTCAATTTGTTCTAGACCCCATGATAGAGAATTTTTCCTTAAGAGTTTTGATAGAGAACTTGTATATTTTGCAGCATTAGGGATAAAATCCCTAATGTAATTC